AACACAGGAGAAGCAAATGAGATAAGAATTGTTTTCCTTTTTCTCTGAGGCTTCTCAGCTTCCCAGGAGCAAAATCCTGGGCGAAGAGGTTTTTCAGAAAATGTGTTTGCCACACACAACCCCTCCCATTCCTTTGGAAAGCCACAGTGAAATTGCCAGTGGCTCTCCAGTTCTCTCTGGGGTCACAGAATTCCAGAATTCCAGAATTCCAGCCACAGCATCCCCCTGGCTCCCAATCCTTCCTCCCAGGGTGTTGGAATGGAAGCCCCTCAGGGCACAGGGAAAATTTAGGCACAGGGATTGACCTGGAGAAACTGAGATATGTGAAGCTACACAGTGAAATAGAAATATAGATTTAGAATATAGATTTTAGCTTTTAGTAGAAACTTACACTAAGTGCCTTGATGTAAAAAGCTGGAGCAGAGAGCAGAGGCCTTTTTGCTCAGAGGCACAATTCTACCATGGTAGTGGTATTTCTATAAAGTTACCCTGCCCCTGACAAAATGTAAGCTTAGCTCTTACTTAAAATCCCACTCAATTATTATTATTTCACTACTACTACCATACCAAAAATAACAATATATCCCCTTAGAACTCTCACCTGCAAAAGATCTTAAAAGAATATAAAATAAAGACTTTATATATAAGACAACACAACAACAACCTATTCCTTTTTACTCTCAGCTAGAGTAAAACACTCATAAAAAAACCACACCAGGGAAATGCAGGAAGAGCTGTCCCTTCCTCTCAGTCCCCCCAGCAGGAATCACAGAGCCCTTAATTAAGGTTGGAAAAGCTCTTTAAGTTTGAGTTCAGCCATTAACCCAGCACACAACCACCAAACCCTGTCCCTAAGTGCCACATCCACTCTGTTTTTAAACATTTCCAGGGCTGCTGATCCCACCACTTCCCTGGGCCACTCTTTTAATGAAGAAATTTTCCCTAATACCCAATCCAAACCTCACCCAGTGCAACTTCAGGCTGTTTCCTCTGTCCCTTGTTCCCTGGGAGAAAAGAGAGGTGCCCACCCTCCTTTCAGAGCAGCTTTTGGATGCACAAACTCCCTCCCTCCAAGCTCAGCTTCCACTTTGCTCTGTTGTACTTGCAATTCCCCCCTATCAGCAGTGATTTTGCATTGCCACAATCCCTGTTTTTCCTCTCCAAGGCTGTGGGATATTGTCCCGGGAGTGCTGCTATGGTTTACCACAGCTGCCTGTGGCTGACCTCCCACAATATTTCATGCACAAGGGCTGGGAGGAATAATTGCAGCTCACGTGGGTGTTGTGCTTAAAACCCCAAGAAAAAGCTGGAAAAAAAATGAGTTTATGAGGGCAGCATTGCCCTGCAGGGCTGGCTGCAGAGGTTATCCCTGGTCAGGATGAGTTATTGACAATTAAATGCCAAGGATGGGTTTCCCACTAGATGTGGAATCTAGTGGATTCCCACTAGAGGTTTCCCACTAGATATGGGATTATAATGGATTCCCATTAGAGATTTCCCACTAGATATGGAATTCTAGTGGATTCCCATTAGAGATTTCCACTAGATATGGAATTCTAGTGGATTCCCACTGGAGGTTTCCCACTAGATATGGGATTCTAGTGGATTCCCACTGGAGGTTTCCCACTAGATGTCGAATTCTAGTGGATTCCCATTAGAGATTTCCAATAGATATGGGATTCTAGTGGATTCCCACTGGAAGTTTTCCACTAGATATGGGATTCTAGTGGATTCCCACTGGAGGTTTCCCACTAGATGTCGAATTCTAGTGGATTCCCATTAGAGATTTCCACTAGATATGGGATTCTAGTGGATTCCCACTAAATATGGGATTCTAGTGAATTCCCACTGGAGGTTTCCCACTAAATATGGGATTCCTGTGGATTCCCATTAGAGATTTTCCTCTAGATATGGAATTCTAGTGGATTCCCACTGGAGGTTTCCCACTAGATGTGGGATTCTAATGGATTCCCACTAGAATTTCACATCTCCCAGAAGGAATTAAACTCATGGAAGCTCTGGGAATTGTGTTGTCCCTCCCACCCAAGGCTTCAGGTCCCCCATTTTGATTGAAGACAGGCACACACCCACTGAGGGCTGGCACAAACCCTCCCAGAGCTCAGTTACACCATGGATTGTCTCAAACCATCCCCTGAGCTCATTTAATGCACCAAACTGGCAGGGTTGTAGTTTCTGACACTGAAATTTTTCAACATGACTTTATTAGCCACTAAATTCTGGACTCAAACATGCATTTTACATGTAATAACTCCATGCATTTTTGCATGTAATAACTGAACAACTCCATGAGAAAAGAAAAGCAAACCCAAAGGGAAGGGAATAAAGGCAGTAGGAAGTGGTAAAACAAATAAAGGCTCAAACTGGCTCCCTGATTGTTTTCCATTTTCACTTTTATTCCCTTTGCTGCCCTTTCAGATATCCCTGTGGGGTTTGATACAGCGCACCTGTGGTGGTTGGGAATGCAGGGAGATGGCAAAGGGCTGCCTGTGGGATGGCCACTGACCATCCCACAGCTTGGTATAGTGGTATTTTTATAAGGTAAGATAAAATGTAAGCTTAGCTCTTCAAAAGATAACAATATATAACAATAATATATATAATCATACCAAAAAAAACAATATATCCCCTTAGAACTCTCACCTTCAAAAGATCTTAAAAGAATATAAAATAAAGACTTGGGTGAAGCAGGGATGTGGAACAGGGAAAAAAACCCACAAATGTGGCTCCAGATGTGCCTCCATGGTGCCTGTTGGACTCTGGAGTCCAGCCCAGCTGTGCTTCCAGATTTGTGACTTTCCCCTTTCTCCTTCCAAAAGCAAACCTGGCTCCTGCTCCAGGCACATTCCCATTTCCAGGGAAATAAAAGAACCACCCTGGGCACCAGCTCTCTGCTCCTCCAGCTGCCCCAGAGCCTGGCAGGTTTGCCCAGCCCCATTTTGGGTGCCAGCAGGTGGGCAGAGCACACACAGGAGCCAAGGTCACCTCTGCCCACACCTTTATATCTCCAGCCCCGAATTCCAGTGGGGAATGGATTCCAGGGTGAACACCCCACGTGTCTCAGTGCTGCCAGGACACACTGGGGGATGTGTGATAAGGTTATCACTGTGGGGCACAAGGGGACAGCCCAGCCCTGCATTAACTCAGCACATTTCCAGCTCTGGAAAATGAGCCTCCCTTCACTCAGGGTGGGTTTGTGGTCGTGTTGCCTGTCCTGGAGGTTTTACTGGGGCCATTGGGGCCAGGAGGCTCCCCCTGCCCACAGAGCTGCTGGTGCTGGCAGAGGGAAGGGGCAGGATGGGCTCAAACCGAGCAGCAGCCGCTGGAAAAACAGAGGGAAACAGCACCAGCTCCATGGTTTAACTGGGGGGCTTAACACAGGGATTGTCCATGCTGGGAAATATTCAGGATCAGTTTGGGGTGAGCAACCTGATGGATTGAACCTGTTCCTGATGGATTGAACCTGTCCCTGATGGACTGGACCTGTCCCTGATGGATTGAACCTGTCCCTGATGGATTGAACCTGTCCCTGATGGACTGGACCTGTCCCTGATGGAGTGAACCTGCCCCTGATGTACTGAACCTGCCCCTGTGTAGCCCCACATTTCTCTTCACAGAGAAAAGCAAGGCACAATTCTTCCCAAGGATATTTCTGGGTTTTGCATTCTCTGAACTTCAGCGAAAAGGAAATCTCAGAGTTTCCACCCTGACAGTCAAAATGTGCCTGGAGGGGGAGAATGGCTCTGTGACCTCTCTGTTTGGATTTTAGGGGCAGGAATGGAGATGCTAAGGAATGACTGGCTCTGCCATGTAGTGCCATGCTGTGATTGGCATGGCTGGACTTGATGACCCCAAAGGTCCTTTCCAGCCTGGCTGATTTCCAATTAAACGGGGATCAGCTGGGACAGGGATGTGAGAGACAACTGCTTACTTTGAAAATTTAAAGAGGTTTATTAAACATTAACAAAAATACAACAAAGGACTAGATAAGGAAAAAGCTGCAGAACTGGGAACTGCCCCTTGTGGACACCATATCCTCAGTTCATCTTCAGGATGCTCAGTGTTTTATACCTCTGGGGGTTGCATCAGCCAGCCCTGGCCCTTCCCAAAGTCTGTCAGTCAGCTCTTCTGTGCCATTTATCGGTGGAAACTGCTTTCTCTAAAAGGATTGGAGATCAGGTGTTGCCATGCTGCACCCCCTAAGCACCAAGCTGTTCCATTCCCAACTGCCCCATGCAAGGGACACATGTGCACACCTTGTTTTTACCTGTCCTAGGTAAAACCTGTCCTAGACAGCCCAGGCTGTCTGATGGCAACAATACGGGAGGGGGGAAAGGGAACCATGGGGAGAACAGAGGACATTTCACTAAAGCTTTTCTCAATATTCACACAATAGTTATCTTTTAATTGCGAGAGCCAATCATCTCATTATCCATCCATAACAGGGAGAGCTGGGCTGGGCAGCCCCGACAGCTCCCACACCCGAACAGCAGGACATGGGAGCGCTCTGGGCTGTCCCTTCGCTGTTCCATGGACGGAGGTGTTCCCAAATTCCTCCTTTGGGATCGCGGGGAGCGCTCTGGGCTGTCCCCTCGCTGTTCCATGGCTGGGGATCCCGGGGGGTTCCCAAATTCCTCCTTTGGGATCGCGGGGAGCGCTCTGGGCTGTCCCCTCGCTGTTCCATGGCCGGGGATCCCGGGGGGTTCCCAAATTCCTCCTTTGGGATCGCGGGGAGCGCCCGGCGCGATCGGCACAGGGGGCGTGGCCAAACAGAGGGGGCGTGGCTATGAGGATATGGGCGCGGCCAGCTCAGCGGCTAAGTCTATTGGAAGGGCGTGGTCTGTAGTGAAGGGGGCGTGGCTAACGGGAAGGGGGCGGTCCCGTGGCGCCCCGGCCCCGCCAGCAGGTGTCGCCCTCCCGGCGGACACACACAAGATGGCGGCAGCGGCGGTGGGCAGCGGTGGTGGGGGGATTCTGTGAAGGTGCCGCCATGTTGGTGAGGGCAATAACGGCGCCCGGGCTGCGCCGGTGGTGCCAGGGCCAGCGGGGAGCGGCCGCCGCCTGTTTCCCGCTGGGCCGGGCGCTGCTGGGCGTGAGGGGCGCCGAGGCCGCCGCCTTCCTGCAGGGGCTGCTCACCAATGACGTCACGCAGCTGGTGGCGGAGGGCGACGCCCCCCCCGCACTCTACGCGCACGCGCTGAACGTGCAGGGCCGCTGCTTGTATGACGTCATCCTGTACAGGTGAGACCAAGCGGCGCGGCCGGCGGGGGGGCGTTGGGGGGGGGGGGGGGGTGGGAGCTGGGAGAGACCATTGAGGGGTGGCGGGGGGTGACTGCTGACGTTTCCGGCTTAAATGTCAAAAAGTCAAAATTAATGTGCAAAAAAGCGCTTCCTCTGTGGGTGTGTGTCATCACTCAGTGCAGAGTTTGGGGATTACCGCATCAGAGAAGTGTGATGGGTGCGATATCCGCACGTGTGGGTGTTGGCTCTGCTCTGGAGCCAGGCTGTGAGGGCTGGGGGTGCTCACCTGGAGAGGAGAGAGCTCCAGAGAGAGCTCAGAGCCCCTGCCTGGGCCACATATGGGATTTTAGGAAGGAATTCTTCCCTCTGAGAGTGCTGCGGCCCTGGCACAGCTTCCCAGAGCAGCTGAGGCTGCCCCTGGATCCCTGGAAGTGCCCAAGGCCAGGTTGGACAGGGCTTGGAGCAGCCTGGGATGATGGAAGGTGTTGGGATTGGAACTGGATGGGCTTTAAGGTCCCTCCCAACCCAAACCATCCTGGGATTGTGTGAGAGTGAATGAAGCTTCTCCCCAAGCTGTGTCCAGTCCTGGCCCCTCAGTTTATGAAGGATGTTGAGATGCTTGAGCACGTCCAGAGGAGGCAACGAGGCTGGAGAGGGGCTGGGAACACAAACCCTGTGAGGAACGTGTGAAGGAGCTGGGGCTGTTTAGCCTGGAGAAAAGAAGACTCAGGGGTGCCCTTATTGCTCCTTACACCTTCCTGAAGGGAGGCTGCAGACAGGTGGGGTTGGTCTCTGACAGAACCAGAGGACACAGCCTCAATATACAGCAGGGAAGGTACAGGTTGGATATTAGGAAAAAAATTTGCACCAAAAGAATGACAAAGTACTGGAATGCTCTTCCCAGGGAGGTGGTAGAACCACCATCTCTGGATGTGTTTAAACAAAGACTGGCCATGGCACTTGGTGCTATAGTCTAGGTGAGGTGTTAGGGCACAGGTTGGACTTGATGATCTTGGAGGTCTCTTCCAACCTCATTATTCTGTGATTCTGTGAATTCTCTTCACTGTAGGTAAGAATAGAGAATTCCACATGGGCAGACCTGTTTGTGCCCCTGGGAGAAGTGAGGGCAGTGTTTGTTAGGGAAGCTGAAACAGCTCAGGTATTTCACTGTGGGATGTGGGTGCTGCTCCCTCTGTGCCATCCACACAGAAATTTCTGTGTAAATCCAGAAATTTCTCTATGGATTTGCACCAGGATCCAAATAAATACCCATCTTTGGCTCCTGCTGCTGTGGGGGTTTATTTTCCTGACCTCGGGGGTGTGATATTTTATTTTAGGCTCCACGGGAGCACAGCAGAGGAGCCTCACATCCTGCTGGAGTGCGACAGCAGCGTCCTGGACTCCATCCAGCAGCACCTGAAACTCTACAAGATCCGCAGGAAAGTCACCATCAGCCCCTGCCCCGACCTGTCCCTGTGGGCTGTCATCCCTGGGGACGCCAGCTCCCTCCCCAAATGTGCAGACCAGGCTCTGCTCCTCACCCCCGACCCCAGGGCAGAAGTCATGGGCTGGAGACTGATTGCAAAGAAAGGAGCAAACGTGGCAGAGATTATCCCTGGCAGCCAGGTTGGAGACGTGCAGGATTACCACAGGCACAGGTATAAACAAGGTAAAGCCAAGCCCTGGTTTGCACTATGGGTTTTGGGAGTCTACATGCTGATTTAAGGCAGGAATAAGTTATAAACCCTTCATTCTCATGTTTTACTGCATTTAATTTGTTCATTAATAGATGTATTAATTGCTACTTTGAGTATTAAAGTGAGCTGAGGTTATAATTCTGTCTGGTGGCAATGTTTGGGTATAATTTTCTCTTACTGAGATTATGAGGATTGGTCAGGAATGCTAAAAGAAAGCCAGGATTATTCATTTTCTTAGAGAGAAGCTTCTGTGGTTGGAGTAATTTTGATTATTTTGGGATGACACACAGCCTTGGCACTTTTCTTGTTACTGAGGAAGGAAAAGGAAACACCCAGACTTGGCTTCCTAAAAACTTTGTAGCTAGATTTTTTGAGTTTATTCCAAGGTCAGAGAGACTGTACAGGGATCTCAGTCCTGGGAGCCTCAGTGCCTTTGATTTTAGTGTGTCCATGCTGATAAAGGATGAAATTAATTGGGAAAGAGGGTAAGAGGATGGTCCTGTGCTGAAACTGGGGTCCCCTTGGGTTGGAAAATCAAACTGAGAAGGAGCCAAACAACTCAGAGCACAAATCTAATGAGGAGCAGCATTTACCTTGATGCCTCAGGTTTTAGCTTTTATATTTTCAGATTCTGTGCTGCTTTAGTGTGTGGGTCTGGGCTTCCCATCAGGGCATGGTGAGCTCTGTGCACAGAGCAGGGAGACAAAACAATTCCTGCTCCAGCTGGGCACCAAGGACAAATGATCCAAATCTCAGCCCAGGAGCACAAACACCGTGGGCTGGAGAGAGAAAAACAAGCAGGGTGGGACTGCCTGGGCTAAAGCTGGAATGGGACAATGAACTGCAAGGTGCAAATGGAGCAGAACTGATCCCAGGGAGAGACCCCGGGAGCGCTCGTGCATTTTGGGGCCATTTTGGTTCATCTTGGGTGCAGCCCTGGCTGGGCTCTGGTGCTGCCCAAGGTGCATCCATGGAGGAGATCCTTTTAATAAATCCCTGCTTTATTCTTTCTATTCTTTATTATTTCTTTTCTGAAATATGGGTCTCCTCCAGCCAGGTCCCATAAGCTCTTGGAGGTCTTTTTCACACCCAAGATAGCTCAGCCACCTTCGAAGGCATAAAATCAGCAGGATGGCTTCTGTGGCAGTGTTGATGACAAAAAGGTTTTAATAAAAGGCAAAAGAACAAACTCTTTACAGAGAAAAACCAAGCCAGGTGCAAGAGTTCCTTGCTCCTGGTAAAACACCTCACAAAAGTGGTTAGTTCCTTTGTTCTCTTCTTTTTCTAGTAAATTGCTCAGGTGGGACTTTCAGGCTCCTGTCCAGTTAGCTGTCCTTAAGTTTGAGGTGACGTCCCCGAAGCCTATGATGTGTCTTTTTACCTAGTTGAGAAGAGAAAATGTCACCCTTAGATTGAACCTGACACACACACGTGATCAGGGTCTAAGAAGAAAAAAGTTTTTTTATTCTGTGTGTTCTCCAGCTTATATACTCTTAACAAAGTGTGATCTTAAGTGTGGTGGTGTTCACAGGGGTCCCAGGATGAGGGCAGAGACGAGGATCTGACTCCATGTTTCAGAAGGCTGATTTATTATTTTATAATATATATTATATTAAAAGGAAATGATAGATTAAAACTATACTAAAAGAATAGAGGAAAGGATTTCATCAGAAGGCTGGCAAGGAATAGAAATGGAATCTTGTGACTGACCAGAGAGTCTGAGCCAGCTGACTTAATTGGCCATTAATTAAAAACAGCCACATGAGACCAATCACAGATGCACCTGTTGCATTCCACAGCAGCAGATAATCAATGTTTACATTTCTTTCTGAGGTCTCTCAGCTTCTCAGGAGAAAAAATCCTAGCAAAATGATTTTTCATAAAAAATGTCCATGATCTTAAGTCATTAACCACATCACACTAACATATTATATTCATTGGTGCAAAGCAATTAACATCAATATAGTTGGCAAAAGTTTTACAGAAATTTAATAAAGCATGTTTACACATCTACTTGTGCACATAGTCTAGCTTACAAAAAATTTAATGTATTTTTTCTGTTTCCGTGATGACAGCCTTGTCTTCTTCCTTGCTATGGATACACTCAAAAATCATCAGTTGTTATTTATTTTATTAACTCAGCTTTGCTTGCAGGCCAGCTGTCAAGCCTCTCTGTGAAAAACACTAATCACTTGTTTTTAAAATTTTAAAAGTTTAATAGTAATAAAATGGTTATAAAAATAGTAATATAATTAGATTAATAATAATTTGGACAAATTGAATTAAGACAATATGAGACAATAAATACAGAGAGTTATGGATGTCTGGGTACCTTTTTCTATGCAGCACAAGCTGGAAAAAGGACACACATTAACAAAGGATTAACCCTTAAGAACAACAGCCTGTTGCATATTCATACACCTCATCCATGATGCATAAATTCCATTCAAACACAGGATTCTGTCTGGTCAGAGTCAGCTTCTTCCTCTGAATCCTGATGGTGTCTTCATGGCTGAGCAAGGCAGGAAGAAGTTCATTTCTTCTGATAATGAGGCAATAAATTCTCTTTCTCTGAAAGATTCAGGTGTCCTGTGGCTGCTATCTCACTGCGAGTCCTTTATTTAAAAAAAGTATCCTACATAGCATCGTTTCTATTTTAACAATTTTTATAACCTAAAACTACATTTAACACCCTACTTAAGAGAATTAATACTGCTTTACTTTCTAACACAACACATATAATATTCATTTGAATATTTACAAAAAGCCAATCATAAAATACACATTTTTCACACCCTCCACACTAAACTTCTGGGTTTGTTTCCTTTTTAAGGGCACAAAGGATAGTTTTGTCACTGGGTCAATAGGGGCACATTGGTATACTGTTACAGCTCAGTCTAGCCTCTAGATCATCCTTCTCAAGGCACCAATCTCCACCTCTGTTCTCCCCTAGGAATCCCTGAAGGGGTGAAGGATCTCCCCCCTGGCGTCGCCCTGCCCCTGGAATCCAACCTGGCCTTCATGAACGGCATCAGCTTCACCAAGGGCTGCTACATCGGCCAGGAGCTGACGGCCCGGACCCACCACATGGGGGTGATCCGCAAGCGCCTGCTGCCCGTCACCTTCCCGGGGCCGCTTCCCCCTGCCGGCGTCCCCGAGGGGGCCGACATCCTCACCCGGGCGGGGAAACGCGCCGGCAAGTTCCGTGCTGGAGGGGGAGAGCTGGGCATCGCCCTGCTGAGGCTGGCTCACCTCCACGAGCCGCTCTGCATCCCCCTGGACGGGGACAGGGTGGAGCTCAGGGCCGCCACGCCCGAGTGGTGGCCGAAAGGGGCTGCTAAGTAGGCGAGGGAGCAGCTCTGGGAGAGGTTTGGGGTGGTTCGGGTGGGGAATTTGGGAATGCTGCTGTTCTGTGGGGAGGGTCTTGCAGGATTCCTCGCAGCGAGAACCCAAAGCTGTGGCAGATCACTGTGGGTTGGCTCTGCCGTGGAGAGAAAAATCCAGGGAATTGCAGCTTTTCCTGAGGGCGATCTCCACTTTTTTAGGGGGGCCATGACTTGTTGGGACCCTGTATTTAGGGGGTGCCCTGTGTTGTTGGGTTGGACTCTGGATGGATCTCCAGGCTGACACTCACTCCCTCAGACTCTGCTCTCCCAAACAATGGGATCAGGACTTTCCCTGTTCCATGCACTGATTTTTTCAGTTCAGAATAACCATTCTGAGATATTACAACTTTATTGGTTCACAATAACCATTCTGAGATATTATAAATTCTATTGGTTCACAATAACCATTCTGAGATATCATTTTATTGGTTCACAATAACCATTCTGAGGAATTATAATTTTATTGGTTCATATTTTATTGGTTCACAAAACCATTCTGAGGGATTATAATTCTGTCGGGTTTTTTTTGAGTGGAGATCATGCTGCTCTTATTAAGATGTATTCTCAGGCTGAAGTTTTTTGCTGCAAATTGTTCCTTGCATTGAGCTTCTTCAACTTGCTGATGGGGCTGGTGTTTCTTCCCACCACTGGAATTGTGTTCAGGAAGAGGAACATCTTGTACTTCACGTGTCAGACCTTGATTTTAACTCATCCCAGCTGGGGAAAAAAGGTCTCAAATCTCCTGTCCTGTCCCCTGCTTTGGTGTCAGTGGAGGGAGCAGAGCCAGTTCCTGACTCCCTTCTCTCAAACCATTTTTTGGGAGAGGAAAGGGATATTTTCAGTGCCACATGTGCTGGCTTGGCCTGGCCTTGCTGAGGGAGGATTTTCACCATATGCTGGCTCTTTCTGTGCCCCTCACCCTGTCCCTGCTGCCCCCTGTAGCTGGGGTTTTTCTCCATCCACCACCCCCAGGGTTTTCAGAGCAGCCCAATGCTTTGCTTTAATTTTTCTGCCTGCCAACACTCCTCTGCTTCTCCAATTTTTCTTCTTGCTGCAACATATCTCTGTTATTATAATATTCCTCTCTTATTCCAAAGCCAACCAGCTCTGTGCCTCCTGACCCTGTAAACGTGCAGTGATTTATAGGAACCCTTTTTATTTTTGTATTGTAATCAATCCATTACACAATGAGAGAGCTGCCCAGGTCAGATCCCATTTTCTCCAAAACAAAACCAAAAAAGCCTTTGCATGAATATTTGTAACAAAACCCGTCCCAAATCACATTCTGCCTTTGTTTCAGTGTTACTGTGAATGGAATTTGTCTGTAAAGAAAATGCTTATATTGATTAAAATTCTATGGTTGTAAAATGATTCTGTGGAATATCTCATTAATTATTGCCTCTGATCTAAATGGGACTCATCTGAAAGAGAAGATGCCTTTTTTTTTGCTTGGTGTGAAGACATGCAACAGAATAAATGCATTTTTAGGTTGCTTGCAGACAAGAACCATGCCTGAGCCTGTTGGTCAGGTGTGGGATTGGTATCAGAGCCTTTCTGCTGGGAAAATAAATAAAATTGGACCCTTCAGTGGCCACAAAGCTGAAGCAGCTTTTCCTCTCTGCCACCCATTGTGCAAAGGCTGCTCAGAATGGTTTTATTGTCCTGGGGTGGGCAGAGCCTGAACAAACACTGAATCAACTCCTCTATTTGGGGAAGCCCTGCATCTTCTCTGCCTTGGTCACACATTTCTTTTGTTCTTCACAGTGTTTAAATGGCTTTTGTTGCTGCCAGCAGCTGCAGGTGACACAAGGTTAGACACGAGAAGGTGGTGCTGGGGTGAAGAGGTGTTGGATTCTGGAAAACAAAAAAAATGAGGCAGAAATTGAAAGGATGGATGGAGGATAACCCAATCCATGTTATCCTTTAATTTTTTTATTCTCCCTCACAGCCTTCTCTACCTTTAGTGATTGGAGCCAGGTGAATTTGGGGCTGGAGGGTGCAAGAGTTGATTTTGCCTCTCTGACAGCCATGGAATTATTCAGGCTGGAAAAGACCTCTTGGATCATCAACTCCAACCATTAACAGCACTTCCAAATCCACCACCAATCCCCATCCCCAAGTGCCACATCCACCCAGTTTTTGGCCACTTCCAGGGATGGTGACTCCACCACTTCCCTTGGCAGCCTGTTCAGGGTTTGACCTTTCCAGTGAGGACATTGGAAGGTGGGAGGGCTCTGCAGGGAGACCTGGAATGGATGGATGGATGAGCAGAGTCCAGTAAGATGAAGTTTGATAAATCCAAGTGCCCAGTCCTGCATTTTGGCCACAATAACTCCATGCAGTGCTCTAGGATGAGGATGGTGTGGTTGGACATTGCCCAGGAACAAAGGGACCCTGAAGAATATCACAGAATCCCAGAACAGTTTTGGGTGGAAGAGACCTTAAAGACCATCTCATTCCAACCCTGCCATGGACAGGGACACTTCCTCCAGACCAGTGTGCTCCAGGCCCCATCCAGCCTGGCCTTGGACACTTCCAGGGAAGTGGAATGTTGGGGATGGGATTTCTCAAGCTCAGAATATCAGCTGCTATAGGAAATGTCCTTCAGTTGTGCCATTTTTGCACTTCAAGATAGACTAAAATCCACAAAAGTGTGCAATAGATTATAGAGAGCAGTGTGGGTGTGTCACTGGGTGAGAAATTGAGGGTTTGGGGTTTTTAGTGTGTCGTGGATGGCAGCAAGATGGAGGGCACAGGGTGTCATCCTGGGTTTCTTCTTCATGCTGCTTCTTCCTCCTTCTCCATGGGTTTGGGTGGCATTTTGTAATTGGGCAGAAAAGTCCCCATTGCAGCTCTGTGGGATCAGTTACTGGGTTAAAAGGGAAACTAACCCAGGTGTCAGTTCTGAATGGGATAGTTTAGTCTGAAAAGGCCTTGGAACAAGACATTGTTGGCCATTTTGTGCCTTCTAATGAAAAGCTGCCAAACTCACAGTTCTGTTTTACTGATAAGAAATAATAAACACCTGAGTGTGAACATGAACTACTGCCTCAAGTGCCTTCAGTCCAGAACCCAGAGAAACCCACACCTGGAACCACCACAAGCTGGATATCAGGAAAAATATTTCATTAAAAGAATGATAAAGTTATGGCTGCCCGGGAAGGTGGTGGAGTCCCCATTCCTGAGTGTGTTTAACAAAGCCTGGATGTGACACTGGGTGCCAGGGTTTAGTTCAGGGGTTGGGGCTGGGTTGATTTTGAAGGTCTCTTCCAACCTGGTCATTCTGGGAATTGTGTGAAATTTCTCCTGAGCACCAGCACGGTGCCCAGGGGGGGCTCTCAGGTGACCTGCTCAGATTCCAGCCTCAACCCGAACAGCTGGAAAATGTGGGGCCCTTCCTGATCCCTTTTTTCTGTGGGTCTCTCCTTGCTGCCTCGGTTTCTCTTTCCTCTGCCTCAGTGATGCTTTGTGAGGGAAAAGAGTGGAGTAAACACCTGGAATAACCTGAAATCTCTGTGGTTTAAGACAGGAGTCACTGGCAGAGAATGCAGAGAGGAATACATGAAATGGTTGCTTTCAGGAAAAAGAAGTTTTCCTCTATTTTTCTGCCTTTAATTTAATTTTGTTAAAAAAATTTCTAGGAGCAGTGCTTGTCTTCATTGTTACATTTTTTTACCTTCTCTGTCATAGTAAAATGCCAATAAAAAAGTTGTCTTGGTGTGGTGAGGAGTCCAGAAAAATGACTGCTTATACTTCAGTCTACTCTATTTTATACAAACATAAATACAAATGGAAATAGAAATATATTTAATACAACTTATTTATTTATTTATTTATATATTCTAGTATATATTCTATATATTCTATAGATATATCTATATATATTTTCTATATAGTCTATATCTTATATATAGATATATATTTTCTATTTTTATATATATAATATATATAATATAGCACATATATATAATATAACACATAGATATTCTACTATGTATAATGTATATTCTATATATTCTATAGATATATCTATATTCTATATATATTCTACCATGTATTCTAGATATAGATATATATTCAATATATAATTCTATACATATTATATACTATATAGTCAATATTATATATACATATATATATTCTATTTATATATCTAGAAATATATATAACATATCTATTCCATATATATAGATAGATATTCTACTATGCATAATGTTCTATATATTCTATAAACATATCTATATTCTATATATGTTATACTATGTTGTCTATAAATAGATATATATTCTATATATATTCTATATATTCTATTCTTTATTATATCTAAACATAGATATATATTTATATAAATATATATATCTAAAACCAGATATTTTATATATATATATATATATATATATACACACATATAGATATATGTATTCTATTGCAGGTTGTTAAAACCACTGCTATGCCCTATTAAAAGCATAATTACTCACAGGGATCCACACTGCTGTGCCCAGGTTTTGGGTGAGCATCTTCACTCTGGATGACTTTAAGAATCCCTCACCAATATTGTTACTTAAATCAATATTTTGATTGTTTTTTCCTGCTGCTGAGGCACTGCTGAGCCCTTTCAGCCCTTCAGGGAGTGTCCAAAAACTGCCCAGACAAAGCCCCAAATTGGATTTATTCCTCACAGGCTGCCTTGGTGCTGCTTTTCCAGGAGATTCAATTGCTCCAGGGTTTTCAGGGCTGGGAAATTTGGCAGTTTTCATCCCCTTTTCCCCACAATTCCTGCTGAAACCACTCTCTGCATGGCCATTGTGGCAGTTTTAATGTTATTTTGAGAGGAGGGTGTAGCTCCTGCTACTTCTAATTATTTAATATTTTTGGGAGCACAATTGGGAGCACAGCTGGATAGAAACAAAGAGAAATGCTACATTTTAAATTCTTTTTTTCCAAGCCATTCCCTGTGTGGTATTTTGCTTTTTTAGACTGTGAATCCTTCAAGGAAAATTTTGGGTTTGTTTTTTTTTTTTTTTGTTGTAACCCTATTCTTGAGCCAGCAGAAATAATTTCTGCCTAAACTGTTTTTGTGGATTTGAGTCTGGATTTCCTTTCTTTCCCTCTGTCCATCCCAGCCAAAGGAGTGTGGAATTTTGCTAAAATCACTAAAATCAGTTTGTGCTTCTGCCAAACTGCCACAACTCTGGAAATCTTTGGGTTTTCTCTCTTTTCCTTCATCCCTGCCTGAGATTTTTGATTTTTCAGGGTTTTGAGGGGGAAAAAAAAAAAAGTGGAAATTAATAGAAATCTTCTTGTTTCAGTTTTTAGATATTATTTTATTCTCCAGTTTTGCTGGCTTGGCAGCTGGAGGGTGTCTGGGAATGTCACTGGAAGTTTTGGGACAAACCAGAGGGAAAACAGCAACTC